CAGGTTCTGTTTTACTTGGGGCTACAAACCATATAGGATAAGGGGCCTGCCCAGCCACTTGTCATAACTCTGAGCAAAGGGGAAGGGACGTATAAGAAACACACTCTTTTCACACCCTCACTGTGAACATAGACATCCAAGCTGTCAAGGCTTGTGTCTGTGAAGCAGGCAGGAAGTTTACCTCCTTCAGGATCACCACGTGGATCAGAGAGATGCATTCTGGCATCCAAGCTGTCACGGCTTATGCGTGGCTCCCGCAACCAAGTCTAGGTCTCATGCATTTGTTATAGGGCTGTGCTATGTGGCTGCATGCCCCCAGGTGGGTCTGGCATGTGAGCTCCCTCACCAACCAAGTACTATAACAAAGGGGTTACCATGCACTGGGACTCTGCTCAAAGGAGGCTGGTTGAAAGGCCTTACCCTAGCCACAGCTTCACAGCACAGCCCTTCTGCTGCAAGGTATCTTGGCACACCTATGGGCCATCAGCACATCATGAATCATAGCAGAAGAGTCCAGAGAGGTCTGTAACATACCTCATCATTTGTTAACTTCAGGAAGATGTCTCCTAGGATCCCTTGTCGTGGCCAGCTCAAGACTCGCTCCTGTAGAGCATGAAGTAAATCTACATGCTGCTGGACCAGGTACCGCAAAGAGTTGGGGAAGAAACTGAAGGGAGATGATATCAGACTGGTTACACAGAGCAGAAGCTCAGCCCTAAGCAGGTACTGCTAAAGTGTGCCTTCATGGATGGTCAGCATAGGCTTGCTTTAAACACAGGTATTATTAACTACTTTTATTGGAGTACTGGCTGCACCGTGAGGCCCTGTTTTGGCTGCTATGTACATGCAGGTACCCTTTTCAGTAGGCTATTACTACACTATTTTGAAGGTTTCTTAGGCTGACTCCCAGTGCATTGTGTAGCTGACCAGAATTTGCAGAACTAAAAAGCCCAAGGCAATGCTGCTGTGGCTAATGAAGCAGGACCATGGTCCTGAGCCATCCTGTAGAGTTCTTGGAGGAGAGCTCCCCAGCTTTGTATGCTGTCTGATTTGTTAGGCCCTTTACCAAGCCAACCCTTTGATTCAGAGCTGGTCAAAATGTGCTACTGCCTTTCTGTCATTTCATGCTGATTTCATCCAGAATCAGAATAAATATGTCAAATATTGAAATATTTTGCCAGATGGAAAGGTCTTAGGGAAAAAGAGTAAAAATAAAAACTAACGTTGGACTATGTTGCTTCAGTTTGAACTGTGCATGTCATGTAACTGAATGAGTCCACATCAACCCATGTACCACATGTCCCACAGTGGACTTCTGTCAAATGACTCCTTGGATGTGGGACTCTAAGGGCCAGCGGAAAGAGCCAACAAGGAGAGAGCTAGCAAGGACTAGGCTCCCCAGATGTGCTTAGGGGCTGGAAACTCCCAGACCAAAGCTGAGTGAATGGGGAGATCTGTGGGAGCTGTCCCACCCTGGGAAGTAAGCTGCTGCAGGGGATGGCCTTTGCAAAGAGCTGGGTTTAACTGCCGGGCTGAGTGAGTCTCCCTGGTCTTGTATCTGCATGTAAATACGTGTGTATGTCTGTATATATCGATACCTGAGGGATGGCAGCCACTAGCCAGGGGCTTATGCCCACAGCAGCTTCTAGAGCTGGAGTTGTGGACTGGGAGAAGCAGGCAGTGAATGCACAAAGCTTTATTCCCACCCAGGCAGGAGGTATGTGAAAGAAGAATAGGATACTGATGGGACTCAGGAGACTGAAATGAAGTAGTGGTGAAACAGTTTGGGGTGCAAGGTGAACAAGATACAAGGACAGGCAGGAAAGTCTTTAATCACCGCAAAAACCTTCCAGTGCCTCCAATTTTTGACCAGAAATAAGCTCTAAGTGTTCAAAGATCTCTGTGTGGATGAAAGAAAATGGGAGAGAGGATGAGCAGAAAGAATATTGACTGAAGAAAACTCCCCAAAAAAGAGAGCACATTAAATCAAGTACCTTCTCTCTTTGGTGTTCCTTTTCACATCTGGCCCTTGCAATGTGGCCTTGATCTTCAGGATTAGGGAAAGGTTGATGACATATTTCCTTTCTGACTCCAGCAGCTCCAAAGCGATGTTCTGTCTTTTAGCTTCCAGAAGATAATGGTTAATTTTAAAAATAAGGAAATGCCTGACCTCAAGGAGAGCCTCATGTTAGACTGGTGATCTGACATGAAATCATGAAAGGAGAAACTGTCGAAAAGTGACACCAATGTCTTGTCTTTGTGTGTCCGCTTTCCCCAAAATATAAAGTTCTAGCCTGATGCTACAGCATGCCCCAGACAAGACTGGAGCCACAGTTTGCTAAGAAAGCTCCAAAGCAAATGTGTGTTCCCCTATGAATATCATTATTTTTTTTTCCTAAGAATAACAAAACAAGCAATCAAAAGCAAAACAACTCATACCAGGCATTCACATCCAGTTTCCTCCAGAACGGGAAGTTGCATTTTTCACCCACTTAAGCAACTACACTGTCACAATCCCATCAGTATTCTGAACCTGCCAGGTCTTGGAAAGGAGAATGGGTGTCCTGGGTGCAGAGCAATTCTGTCAGTGGCACAGACCAGCAAATACAAAGGCCAGAAGTCTTGGAGACTGAGGCCCTGAGACATTCCCCCTCTAGCAAGAGAAACTGGCTTGTGTGTCTCCCCCTGTAGAAGCTGATTACTGAGCAGCTCACACTAGATGTGAATGCAGCTTTGAGCCTCTGTAGCCAGAGTTTTCCACTCTGTCCTTACCAGCCAAAGAGGGTTCACATATAATGTTGTCTGCTGAGCTGTATCTGCTTTGGCCCATGTCTTTCCCTCTCTCTGGTTGCTCTTTGGAAATGTATTCATCTCCCCAGTCCTTGGTGTCCTTGGGCTGCTTCCACACTGTTGATGGCAGATGCACTTTCGACTGCCCCTCTGTTACAGTCAAGGAAGGCTTGAGGCTGTCATCTGCCTCTATGGTTGCTCCTGCAATGACAAACAGCTGTATGGATCTTGACATCTCTGTTGACAGGTTATGCTACAGCAGGCAGCTAACCTGCATTATCATCCATTCGAAGTACCGGAAGGAGTGTTTGAAGCATTCTCTGTGCTTCACAAGGGCTGTAGCCTTAAAGTGTTAATTTACAAACAGAAGTGCAGTTGGCAAGCACTTTGGCAGAACAAGGTTTGCAATCTTCTAGCATTTACTTTCAGGCCAAATAAGGTCCAAAATTAGACACATGTTAGAAAAGAAAAAACATATATTCCAAGTATGGTTGCACTTAGGGTTTTGGGACACTTTAGGACTTGGTATTATGACACATATTGGCAGGTATTGTAGAAACAGGAAGTATTATTATGATTTGGATTTAAATGCTATTCTCAATGGATGTAAACTGTCGTGACTTAAAATTTTTGTTAGTGTGATGTGATTATACAGCAGCGGCAGGACTGATAGTCTGAGGCTATTAAATCACAGAGAAGGTAGAGTAGGCTGCCAGGGGCGTTAGAGCCATTGGGCTGGAATTGCTTTAATGCAAATAATTTTAATTTGGGTCGCAATGAACCATTTTCTGTAGCTTTTCTTCTCTTTCAAGTGGATTCATGCAAAAGAACCATCTGGAACAGTGAGTGCTTCTAGTGAATAGCACAAACATCTAATGGTTGTTCTTATGTGTCGTTTTGCTGGCCAGGATCCTTAGTCTCCCCTGACTATACCCTTCTCTTACTTCTGACCAATTTTTATTTTTGCCAGAAAAAACTCCTCTATTATTATTCAGACACGTCTCAAGGAATCTGGAAGCTGGTGGGCAAATAAACAGTTCACCAGTTCTGCTGGTGTGTAGTCACTGCAAAGAGCACTTCTTCCCAAGGGGCAAAATGGCACTCTCCTTATTCTTTGCCACATCAGTAAGCCTCAATTCTCCCTTTCTGCAAAGGCACTTAGAACCTGCGAAAGCAGCAACAGAAAGGCTTTCCCTGCCAAATACCAGTCCTTTGCATTGTCTGTCAGGTATTTGGCACTTCAGGGACACAGGTTTGCCCTCATATCTCAACTGCAGGTATGAAATGGAGGTACATAGCAAAGTGAAAGACATTCCTGTGAAATGCATTCCCTGAAAGCATTTCTTCAGTGCAGTAAGCACTCTAATTGAATCATTGTCCTACTGTTTTTTGACAGTTTGATATTTTCCTACCTGGACCTGCTATGACTTTCACACTTCCTTCTCCCATTGGCATGATCCTGGTGTCAGACACTGTTGAAGAACAAAGGGAAACTTTACAACAGAAGGCAGCTGTGGAGCAGGCTTCCTCCTTCCAAGCCCAGTCAGTATGGTTGCATCTTCCAGTCGCTCACATTTTTGCTAAGGAAACACCCCTGTTAGGTCTTCCACTAAGGAGGATCTTTAGCGTTGTGGCTCTTGTTGCAGTCTTTGTTTCAGTAGCACCTGCAGGCAGGCTAACATGGGGGTCCCTGTTGTGCTTGATGCTGTATGACTGCAGAGGAACGTGAGCAGTCTTGGCTTGTCCTTGCTCAGTAGGTACAGGTTGGGTAGAGCACCCCACAGGCAGAAGAAGAGGATGGAGGTCTGACAGAGACACAGCTGCCATTTTGAGCGGAAAGGAGCTTATTGAGGGGTGGAGGAGTGAGACAACTGGAAGGAAAGGGGCAGTGGGAGAAGTGGGTGACAGAGGTGGATGTGCAAGAGGGATGTGAAGGAGAGGGCTAACATACCGCCTCAGAGGAGAGCAGAGGGGGAACATGACTGGCCAGATTCTGAGCGGAACAGAGTAGAAAACAGTACATGGTTTTCATCCAATCTCTGCCTTTGTTGACATTTTAAACGTATGTGTTTTAGCATCTTCCTATCTGAACAGCAAGAGGATGATAGACCAGTTTAGACCCCCAAAGTTAATTATAGAAAAAAAGGCTGCGGTCCATCACCTTTTCTTTGATTCCAACCTTCACAAGTGTTTGGCAGTTTTCCTGGTCAAGGTGTAACCCTAACACCATGAGTTAGCAGCTTACAAGGGGCAGTGATTCTCCTAGCAGTGTGTACATGCAAGGAGCAGTGACACCAGTAGCCTAGTGTGTATATGTACCAGCTCCAATGCCCCGTTGTCAAATCAGCCACTGATCTGGCCCCTTAATGACACCAGGTGCTCCTGTCAGTCCAGTCCCTGTGATCCTCCTTTCTGTGCCCTGCTTCCTTACATGGAAACAAATTCATAGGTTGTAGTATTTTTGTCCTGGGATCCTACTTGGATATGTATCTCTGCCACTAGCATTACAGGGGAGAAAATCCAGCCTGCTTCCCTTTCCTTGGAGGAGGCAAGCAATGGCTTTTGGGACAGTGTTGACAGAGCAGCATCTCCTGAATCCAGGCCAGTACCAGCGTTGCTATCCTGAGACACTGTGCCGAGGTACGTGCACAGACCCAGGAGCAGTGCTGGCGGGGGGAGCACCCCCATTCTCTTTTTGTGCTGCTGGCACCTGAGTAAACCTTGGTGTCCTCTTACCCTAGTGACCTTTTTCTGGATTTTGTTCCTGAGGAAGGCACTGCATTTTCCTACTGTATTTCCTACCTTTTTCATAAGTCACGTTGTGTAAAAGACTTGTAAAATCTTCATTGATCAGCACAGGTTCTGGGAGGTTAATGGATCGAAATGGGCTGCCCTGGAGAGGTGTAGGCACTGTCTGTGACCCATGATCATCCTTTTGTGCTCTTCTGTACAAATACAAAGAACGAGACAGTTGGAAAGTATGAATGCTACAGGTAAAGTTCCTACACTACAGTCGTGGCAGACACCAGTATAAGTACAAGCACCAAGTCAGAAGTAGGACAACTCCAGCAGTGACCAGGAAAGGAGTTGGCTTTGATGCAGTTCATGAACAATGTTCTGGAAGTAACTTCCATTGGCTAGAGGTGAAGGTTATTTCAGACTTGTTCTTTTGCAGAGCATGTTTCATCTAATTAAATGGTGCTAATTAGCTAAGGGGCTGGCCTAGATTTGCAAAGTGTTTGCATCAACGCAGCTGTACACTCATCAGCAAAACTCTGTTTTCAGAAGGAGGCTAATCAGGGCCAAGGTGGACAAGCTGTCTGCTTCATCACAGCAATAGTGTGGCCCAGCAGTGTGCAAACATGCTTCTGTATGACCCTGCTCAGAGAAGAAAAGCCTGGTGACAGGAAAGCAGAGCATGACTGCACCATTAGGAGCCCTCTGAGTCCTGCATGCTTGGAAAGGGAAACTGCAGTGCTATGGATAGCGCTGCCTTAGCACTAGCTTGTAATGGTGGAGACTCCCGCCCTAACAGCTCTCGCAGGTCTGTGTGTTTCACCAGGCCTTGGTTTCCCTGAAAGCTGCTGGGGGTATTTTGCTGTTGGAATCCCAGGGAGGTGTTGGTATTTTTCTGCTGGGCTTGCTCTGTGGGGTATGTGTCTAAAAGCCTGGGGTGAACTAAAGGCTAGAGCTTCCAGTAATAATCAGGGTTGATACACATGTCCAGCCAGGAAAAGATTAAGAAGTTAAGCTCTAAGGAAATTAACAAAATGGACACCACTGCTAATTAGCACTTCCAGAGCCCTGGAGTTCAGGCCCTTACTTAGCTTTCACTTTCCGTGATTCCCGCCGTTTCTCTTGCTGCAGTTGCTCAATTTTCTGTTGCATTTCCTCCTGCTTGGCACTGATTTCTTCAATCATTGACTTTGCATCGCTCAGCTCCTCCTGAGAAACAGGCAAAAGCACAGCATTCCCAGGGTGCCCATCAGCCTTACATAGCACAGCTTTGAATGCCGGCTGGTGTGCATTAGAGATGCTTCAGGGTGCTGTGGAGAGTGGCTCTGTGATTAGGCACTCTTCCTTTGCAAGACCAGTGTGTGTAATACATGCCATGCGCAGCATGGCAATCCTTAATTCAACTACAGGCAACTCGCCCAAGCCAGCATGATGTCACATGGTTAAGGTACTGGTGGGAGATGGAGACACAGGGCTTCATCCACCACCCACTGAAAGCACTGGGAGAACTCCTGCCTTTAAAGGCATTTGGAGTTGCGCCTGGGGAAGCATGTTTCCCTCTGCAGTTCTCCAGCGTGTGTATTCATGTTGCATTTAGTTCAGATCCCAGTGTGATCACTCACATGTATAAGCTTTTGCCAGTCAGGCCTTGGAGCTGCCTTTTTAGCCTGGTTTCCTAAGGAAATGAGGCCCTCTGTAACCTCCCTGTGAGCACATCCTCCCTCAGGCAGTTGCAACCAAGCCTTACTCAGATGTAGAGCACTCTGATGCATGAAGTTCTGTAGGTTTCATCAATGTGAGCAGCAGGATGGAGGAGACAGACTCAAGAGTTTCCTGTAAATTGAAGGAGAGGGATTTTCCCCAAGCAAGGAGGTGGCTTCACTGGGAGCTCAGTGTTTGGGTAGTCAACATGGGCATGAGCAGAGGGAGAGCAGCCTTTGTCCCTCCTGCTGCTTGCATAATTCCTTGTATCTGGATTTTAAACCCCCTTTTTCCCCCATAACAATGTCATGGATAACCCTGCCTCTGGTTGCTTTGAGACCGCTGCCATGTGCCCTTACACTTCTTGTCTCCCTTGCTCATCTGGGATCACAGGGCTCCTTTTGCCTCGTGCCATCCGTCTCTCCCTGTCACAGGGTCAGTAACAGCCTTTTCCAGTAAGCAGCCCCCTTTAACTTCACAAGGTATCATTGACTCAGCAAAACCCCATGGGGAAAATTTACCATAAAAACAATAAAACAGTTCCTCCGCCTGCCTCCTCACAGGCAGTCATCCAGTTTCTGCATGGAGATGCTGGCTGGTACATCAAGCCTTCTTGCTAGGCTCTCTCTCCAGTCCTTTGTCTTTATACTCTTGGACCGGATCAAACCAGGCAGCACTTCCTCTCAGCCGTGTGGGAACGCAACTTCAAAAGGTTTTAGGGTTTTGTGTTAATTCCCTGCTTCCCACCAGCTTTGGTTCCTGCAGGAAATGCAGGAGACCTGACCCAGGGAGAGGTATGGCACAGTGGCCCAGCGGCAGCCTGTGAACAGGCCATATGCCCTTTGCATGTGCAGCCCAGAGCAAGGGTTGTTTGTGCCCAGGATAGCTCGCAGCACTGCCTCATGGCCCATCGAGAAGGCTAAACAGACCAGGGCATGGGTTACGTTTGGGTTGGAGTAGTCAGGGGTGACACAGAGCCAAAGGCATTGCACCAGATACATCTGAAACAATTGCCAGCTCATTTTCTTCGCAAACAGGAAGGATTGACGGAGGCAGACGAATGCTGCCCCGTGCCATCCAAGCTAATGTGGCAGGTATGCAGCGCCCACCCCACCCCCCATCACACTCCTACCTTGAATGTGTTGAGGGAATTCTTCATCTCGGCCACTTTCTCTTCCATGGCACAGCGGCAGCTCTTGACCTTCTCCTCCAGGGCGTACTCGCCATGCTGGATTCGTGACAGCTCCTGCATCGCTTCTGTGAAACCCGCCTTCAACTCAGAGGCTAATGCCTGCAACTAGAGGAACCACAAACACGGTGGGTTCAGTCCCTCCTCCCGGATGCAGGCGGCTGTGTCCCCAAGGGTCACCCATGGTTCAGAGTGGCACAAAGGCTGGGTGTAACCCAGCCTGTAAGGTGCTGTCCTCCTCCTCCTCCTGTCATGGCTGGGAGACATGGGGGGAGGTTCGGCCCCTGCTGCAGCCTCAGGACAGGGTAAGAGGTGTTTGTCTTGGGTAGTGAATATGCCCCTTTTTAGACTTAGAGTTTTTCCAGGCTCCCTGGCAGTTTGCAGCCTATCAGTCTGTAGAAGGAGAGGACAGCCTGAAACATGCCAAGAAGGTTTGCAACAAACAGCGGCCAGATTATCAATCCCCAAAGCAGCTGAGCAATCAAGAACATGTCTGGTTTTCAGCAAGGCCTCCTCCCCGACATGCTCGTGGGGCTGGTGCTCCCCAGACAGGTCTAACACCTCCTCGCTCTCCAAGGGCTGTGGAGAAGCTCTGTCCTTGTTCAGCCGGCCCTTTCCAGGGAAGGAGGCAGCTCTTTAACTCGTGACGGGGAGGGAGTAGGAGGTTTTCCCCTGGCGTACAGCGACACTGTGCCCACTCTCCCTGTTTTCTGTCCCTAAAGGCCCTAACGCTGCTGGAAGAGCTCACAACCTAAGCTGAAGGCAGCCGGTTGATAGCTGGGTGAAGCAGGAGACAGACCGGGGCAAGCCAGGCTGGCATAGCAAGCAGACAAGGCAGGTGTGGAGGTGGGCAGTGAGGGGAGGTAGGCGGCTTGCAGAGGGCTAAGCGGGGACACCCTCTTCGGGAGCAGCTCGGGCTGGCGACCCTGAACTCTGCCCCCACTGCTGTGAGCAAGGCGCTCGTTCTGCCTGCACAAAGCCCACAGCGACGTCGCGGCCCAAGGCGCTTCGGTACCAGTGGTTTTTACCTTTACAACAGAAATTCGGCCTAACATCTGGTTATAAACTGAGTCCAAAACTGGAGCACTGATGGTAAGAGGACAGCCACCCCGGGGAACTCAGGCGCTTGAGTCCTGTAAATGGAGCAGAGATGGCTTCCGATACCTTGGGGCAATGGCATGCACCATCCTCCTCTGATCAAGACAGCGTCTTTACAGAGGACGTCTGCCTGACATCCCCACTCCTATCCCAGTGCTTACCCCACGGTCCCCGGTCTGGTCTGGCTGGACACACGTTCCCAGAGCTGCCTGGGTAGGAGGAGCAGGACTGACAGGAGATGGGACAGGGCAGAGGGGAGCAGGAGGCTGAGGACATCTTCCCTCCTCAGGCAGTCAACCCTGACTCCCCGTGCCCGCTGAAGCTCCAGACCCCTTGGTTCAACCCCTTTGCCCACCCTTCCTGGTCACAGTGGACACCTTCCTGTGACACTCCCATGTCACAGGAATTGTCACCCTGTGACCTGTGAGTGTAGCCTGAAGGGTTAGATGGGCTGCTTGGGGCCATGGCTGCTAGGGGAGGCAATGACCATACTGCTTCTGATATCTCAGCCTAGGGGGTGAGCCAGATAGCATCATCAGACATCCTAACATACATGGCTGGAGAAGTCGGGGGATATAACGTACTGCAACTGTGCAAAATGTTAATATTCCTATCCCTGCTCACAGGTGTTTGCCACACTTCCACACCGAGCTGACACTGCCAAGGCAGAGTCTCCCTGCTAGCCTACATCAGGGCTAGGCATCGCACACTTTCCTCAGAGTGAAAAGAAGTGATTTGTCAGATCCACCCCTTCCAACTGAAATATGCTATTCTATTCTATCCTGTGCTATCCATTTTAGAGATCTGCTTCAGGATGCATATGTCACAGCCTCAAGTCTTGCTAGCAGCGGAGTGGTCCAGAAGCTGGCCCCTGGAGATAAAAATATCTGGGGAGAGTAAGCCCAAAATGAAATGTTTCTCCCCACAAGCCTGGTGATATCTTCCTTGGATACTTCCAGAAAGGGGGTAAACTAGATAGATCCATTGTGAGGGGTACAGGGAGGAGAGTCATTGCTGATCTAGAGGTTTCAGAGTCAAAAACTGCTATGCATCAGCAAAAGTCAGCAAAAAAAGGGAACACTGCAGAAACCTTGGTGTCCATGTGCACCAAAATGCTCTGTGAAAGCAGAGTTCAGGCAACCAAAAGAAAGATTTGGACTAGAGGCTGGACTAAAATATCCTCTGCATCTAAGAGCAGGCAGTCACTTCTTATTTTGGGGTTCACTGTTGACCAATTTGTGCTTTTGCAGTCACAGTGCTAGCTTGGTTTCTTTGTGTATCATTCCCAGTGCTCCAGACCCCAGCCTGGTCTGTCCTGCCCGGTACATCCTTCCTTAGCCCCATGCAGCTTGCAGTGGCTATTTCAGACATTGAAATGCATTTTACGCTCGCATTTCCTTTTGTTTCCGCTTGATGAATGAAAGCAGCCAGCAACACTGATCAGCCACATCTGCGAGGGCTTGTATGGCTGGACATGGAAGTGCTGAAACCCTGAGAATTCCCTCCTCTGCTGCTTTCAGTGCTCAGAGCATAGAAGGGAAACACAAACAGCCTTGTGGCATTGGATGCAAGTTTGATCCAAAATGGAGTGGAGTGGTGCAGGAACAACACATTATCTTTGAACACCGGCCAAGCACAGTGTAGAGCTTCAGCTGTGGATTTCAGTTTGAGCTCATTTCTAACGACAAGCTGTGGAAAACCATCCTTTAAATCCCATGGGCTATTACAACAAATGGAAGCCATTGAAGCATCAGCTCATGCTTCTGTCTTGCCCAAGGGATTCAGCCTACAGGACCAGAGAGATATTTCACAGGTTTGTGTACTCCTGGAAAGTCAAGCCAATTCAGCGTTTCTAAAATTTCTAACAACCAACAACAACACATACCAAAAAAGACAGATTTTTGTACTGCCATGGAAACTTGGCAACAGTTTAACTGTAGTGTGTTGCCCTGGCTCACCTCTTCATGGAAATAAATACACACCTTAAAACTTAAGTTGTGGAAGTTAAGGAGCATACCTTAACAACTTAAGTTAAACTAACTAATGCCTAGAGGATAAATGAATCTGTGTGTTCACAGGAGGTCCTTAGAACCTGCCCAAGAACTGTTCAAAAACAGCATTTAGGCATTTAAATAATTTAGTATGAGATACATGTTTCGGCCCCCACTTGCCTTTGGAGTGTGGCCCTCAAACCTGATAAAGCAATGCAGTGAAGGATCCAGCGCCATGCATCTGTAGCAGATTATGTCTGTCTTGGGGGCTATGACTCCCGTTTTACCTGTTGCCCTGATGTTTCTCAGCTCTGTGTGAAAAACCACGCAAGTAAAATCTCTAGCGAGACCAAGTAACTGTGCTATGCTGTGGGTAGCTGCCCATGGGGAAATGAAGGATTCTGCTCCCCTCTTTGCATGGCTCTGATTAATAGGACACGGAGAAGCAGTGACTTATGACTCTCACTTGTCCTCCAGCCCCATGAGAATATGAACTCTCTGTCGAAGTCCACCTGGAGAGGGGAGCAAGCAAGCGTTTCGCAACATGGAGAGGGAACCGTGACCATGTAAAGGAAGTAATGGTTGGTAGAGGGGAGAAGAGTAAGATTGGAAGACATACAAAGAGCATTTCTCAGCCTGGTTTTGACTTCACTTTGCTTGAGTGGAGCTATTTTTAAATACATACATACA